CATACCAGCAAGTCCACTATTATACAACACAGAACAATGTCCCTTAAAGGGAATATCCAATATCGGGAAGTCTATTATTGAGAAGCTTTATTGTAATGTACAGTACAATAATGTTTTCCTATGTAAAGCATGCCTACTGTACAGTACAGGTTATTAACCTTGAACTGTGTACCTTAATATTGTGCATACTTAGGTATACTGTATCTCTCTGGGGTCACTTTCCTTCCTGTACAGTAGCCTCAGGTTATGTCCAGATATATTTATATATAGGGACCAAGAGCATTTGTGAAGTAAACTCACACTGAAGGGGAGAGCCTTACCCATTGTTGGATGTATCTATAGATCCCTGAATTGCAGCTCATTAAACCAAAGGAACTTAAGAGCCTTAACAGACAACGTAACAGCGCTCAATTCTCGCACCTCTTTGTCATGGGCAACGTTAATTATGTAACTAACATAAAAAAACTCATCACAAGCACAAGATGGTTCTGGTTGAGTGTCCCATGCAAAAAAATATATATACTGTATTTTAAAACACAATTATAAAATATAAGGACAGAGTTTGCATAATTTGAATGTGCAGAAAGTGAAATTTTGTCAACATTTTGGACAATAAGTCCAGATTATGTATTATATTAATTTAAATAATTTTAATTAAAATTTTCTTAAAAATTCCCAAATACCTGTATTTGACAAATCCGAATTTCAGGCAGTTAATTTTTTATCGTAAACTTGCTACTGAAAGAAAGACATGAATAGAGAGAGAGGCCAAAGGAGCACTGTAGGCAGGGGGAGGAGGAGGCCCGGTGATAATGCAAGCAGCGCAGTTCTAACATACTGATCATGGCTTCTTACATTCTATATAAAAGCAATCTTAAAAAAAGAGAGGGATGATACCATTATAGTTTAGTGTTAGTAACAATATTATACTTGATTTAAATGTATAAAGCAAACCCAAAACTCAATTGTTTGTCAGCACCAAAAAGATATCAGTAAAGGGGTTGCTGGAGCCACAATCAAAGGAAAAGTCAATAAAATATAACAAGAGACTGTGAACAACAGCAGTTAATTTTGTATAAACATGGAAGAGATACTCAAGACAAGTCCTGCAAGTTGCTCTTGAGGAGGTGGCCATGGTAGGAAAACCCCAAGTCACCTTATTACTACATACCTCTTATCCTCTCCCCTATATAATGTTCCACCTAAACGCTACTCTCACACTCTACAGTGCACCATCTTTGCCATCCTCTCCTTATGCATCTGTCAATACTGTACCATCTCAACAAACCTCATATCACCCATTCCAACATTCTAAGTCACACCCATTACCATCTCCGTCACACACGCACACACACCATATAAGCTTTAATAATTTTACCGCTTACGTTCTGTTAACTCAAGATGCATCCTTCAGGTACATAATTCCATCATTTGGGAGGAATCAAGCTTACATAGAGTTGAAATAGACACCAGAAACCAGAAATTGTAAAAATATGTGAATCAATAAAATTAGAGGAACTCTAATGAAATCATCTCCAGAAAGCACAACCAGGGACCATGTGAAAAAAAAAAATACACTTTACAGGGATATCAATCTTTAGTTGTGAGAGATGTCAAGGCCACAAAAATGTTTACAAGTGAAAGCCAAAGATCAGAAAAAAATGCAGTACAGTATGTACATCATGAGGGCCCAGAAAAAATAAACATATAAAAGCACATCTAACGATCATGGGAGTCCAAAAATATTTGCTTTGCCATGGTTATCCATTTTCAATTTGAGAGACTCTAGTGGACAACAACAGTTAAAAGAAACCCAACACCAAGAACTGAATTAATATTATGTATATCATGGTGTGTGAAAGGGGGGTAATTAATTTACCATTTAATGTACATCTAGGAATTTGTGGAGCTTCAGAGAATACCTGTACTGTATATGGTTGTCTATCTATCTTTCATTTAGGAGAAATAAAGCTAACAAGTGAGGGACTGATCCTGAAATCTCTTTTTGAAATTGAACCAGGATTAATTAACTCAAGTAATGTACTGTACTGTACTGTGCTGTGCTGTATGGTGAGCCAAGTCTAAAGTGTGATGACTCATGGATCTCAGACACCCATAATGGTGATGGAGTACAACTGTAAATTATTCTTGCCCTAATACCAAGTCCTAAAAAGGATATCTTTTTATACAACAACTGCCACTTTACCACCCAGCAGAGGTGCTCTGCAACACATACTGTACATGGCTTCATTTTGAGGGCCAGCACTCAGTTCCAGGTGACCTCAGTGGAAGGAGGGGAGGGTAGTACTGTGATCTAGGTTAGGTTATAACACTGAACTTCAAGACTAATCCCTCATTTATAGCCTGAGGCCTGACTCTGGCACCTAATGTATCTTTAATAAGGTAACAACAGGAACAATGGTGGCAGCAACAACACCATGTGCTGGTACAGTACAGTACAGTACAGTACAGTACAGTACAGTACAGTACAGTACAGTACCATACAGTACAGTACCATACAGTACAGTACAGTACCATGCAGTACAGTACCATACAGTACAGTACAGTACCATGCAGTACAGTACCATACAGTATGGTAGTACTGTACAACTGCCAGGATGCAAGGAACTAACCCACAGCCATGTTGTCTTAAAGTGTAGTTTGTGCATCACGTGAAGGTCATCGCTGATGCCCGCCCAGGCCGCTCTTCACACAAGAGACTCCGGAGGTATACTGCACATGGTTGTGTGAGCTTAATGGCCATTACTATTGTATCAAAGATATACAGTAGTAGCTTCACAAGTATACCTATAATTTAAAATCATAGCCTGCTATTAAAAGAATAAAATGCCATCGCCAGAAAAAGTGAATGGTGACGACCACTCTCAAGTTTCAAAGCTTGGATAAAAATCCCTCAGAACAAGAAGCCTGGCTAGTGCACAGTTAAATGGCGCTCAAGTTAGTAAACAACCTGTGTCCAAAAATAACAGAACAACTCCGTCACCCAAGAAGCTCACTCTGAACCCAGTATAACTTGCCTAAAATATGATTGGAAATATACTGTACTCACTTGACAATATGTCGACTTACAAAAGGGACACACAATGAGATAGGCAATAATAGTCTTGGATTTTGAAAATTTGCAGAAATAGTTGCAGACAGGAACCAAATTCCCCAAACTTTCCAAAACAAAGTAGAAAACTACATCAACAACAGACACATCTGTTTCTGGTAAAGGTGGCAGCATCACATGTGTCTCATCCTCAGTGTAAACTCCACTGATGGCTGACTACTGCACCTAACAACACTCCCCCTATAATTAGGGAAACCTTACCCATGAGCACCCTTACCCATGAGCACCCTTACCCATGAGCACCCTTACCCATGTGCACCCTTACCCATGAGCACCCTTACCCATGAGCACCCTTACCTATTCTGGGGTCTTAAAAAAAGAAGAAAAAACCAAAAGTCATTAAGGGAGGAAAAGTCACAGACTGCATCCCACACCTACAGTAAAGGTCTTAGTCTTCACTCCAGCCCCAAGAGATATAACTGGACTGGCACAATACAGTATTTCCTTTCTTTACCAATTTTACCCTTTGCAAGGAACAAGCTGATTATGACTGTCTAATTCCTCCCGATCAAACAAAGAAAACTAAGTGTTTTTTTTATACATAAAGAAGTTTGCAGGAAGAAACAATAATTATCACCCTTAGCAGATTAATGGCCTGGCAGTAAAGATCATTCTCAGAGTGTATCTAAACATCACCTTGCAAGATGACTCGCCTACAATTTCAAATGAAAAATTAAAAGGTTAGCGAGAAAATATACCATAAAATAATATTGATGAAGAGTCAAAGAGAGATCCTTCGTAGCAAAGTCTCAAGCAACAGTTTCCTTGAAAAGTCATCCAGTCACCAAATCAGTAAACCAGAACATTGCCAATAAATGCCACGCCTTTAAAACAGTTACCACTCCCTCAAAGCACCTGTATAAAGGTGCCTCAACAATTGCCTCTTAGGTTACAAATAAGAGCTGAGGAATGAAGAATTCCAGGTTATACATGACCGCTCAACACTCAGCCAACTTTCCACAGGATGTGTAATCGTCTACACGAGTGATGTGGACGCTTGCATCTCACAAAGTATCCTTGGTCCCTTTCATGCAACATCCACAGTTTAATGCCATGAAACACTTGCACTAAAGCAGCATTTCAAAGATAAATTACCTTCCACACAGACAACCTCAACAAGGCTCTCTCTAACTGAGTGATCTGCCTCAAATGACTCAACAGAGTCAGGATCCCAGGACATATGCACACCAATGTCCAACACTGGATAAAGATAGAAAATTAATTCCCTCCAAACTCAGGGACGGTCTCCTCTCTGAGGTAAGGATATCAACAAACTCCTCAATGCCAAGGTAAAGCCCCATGGCCAGAAATAGAAACTCCTCTCACTCCTAATCCTCTTAATCTCATCCATCATAATCAGAAACTTTGGAGTCTGAATCCAGTCAAAGTGCTCAGGAAAAAGTCAATCCTGACCACTAAAATTTGTATAGCCAAGGATAGTGACCAATGGCATTAATATAAAACCAAATATAGAACTGATCCTACAACCTCATTTTAAAACTGAGTTTGGATAAAATTTGTGAGTATGTCTGCTGAAGGTTTGGGGTTTAGGACATGGGGAAGTCCTGCCATAATGATAACCGGGGCAATAACGAAAAGTTTAGCCTTTTACACCACAGACAACTGTAGCTTTGAATAAGAGCAACAAAAAAGTTCAGTTCTGAGAGCTGATGAGTAAGACATCACACAACACACACATGATCCTTTCAGTTGAGCAACAAACTGAGCCAACCCCAGCAAAACACCCACAAGAAGAGGGTGGGAACCAAGTTGTTCTCTCCAGACTTGGTCTGTCTCGAACAACTAATGAATACTAAAGCCAGCTAAGATAAAGGGAAGATATAGTACAAATTGATCTAAGTGCCATGCCACTATGCACCTCCTAGGGGAAAACATTACGCTTACCTGGTGTAGAGGGGCTGAAGATCTCCCCTAGCATACGCAGTTCCCTGCTGTTGCCTGGGTCTTCTAGAAAGAGAGAAAGAGCTCGAGGATCCCGCAGCCTCCACAATGAGGGGTCCATAGCCCCGCCCCTCCAGTAAGAAAAGGAAAACCTTGCATAATCAACAGTTGAACCAGAGCCAGTTGGTAAAACATTCCCACCTTTCTCTCTCACCAGATGCCAAGTACAGTAGGTCTATGACCTGTCAATCCTCGGCCTCCTTCACTTGAGACGACCTCTATAAAGTTTGGCCTCTTCCACTTTACTCAGTGTCATTCCTCTTGTCATCTATGTAGGAGTCCAGTTGGTCACCATCCTCATGGAGTCCACTTCAGCTTGTCTCTCTTCACCCAACTGCTGCATATGTCCACACTACAGTAGTACCTTAATTTACACATTTCAATGACCTTTGAAATTGCTGTTACATTACATCTTTTCGTATTCAGTATTTTATCAAGTCTGGCGACTCTTCTAATAGCCCGAACGATATCATCTGTTCTACCTGTGAGTGGCCATGCCTCTAACCTATGTTAGAATGGGTTTGGGAATGTTGTTGTATACATTGTTTTGCATTTCATTGGCACATTTGTGTCTTGAAGGATGGGATACAGTATACTTGCATTCTTTTTATTAATTCTGTTATTAAGTTGAGTTGCTGTATATTTTTCTCATTAAAGTACAGGTATTCAAATTTGATTCAGCTCAATAGATGTTGCATTATTTTCTGTCTTCATTTATTAATTTTCAAAGCCTTTTCTTTAAGGGTTGCAAATCTCTCACTACTACGCCGTCATCAAAGTAAGATAAGGTAATTTACTCATCTTCTTCCTTATATGGTTCCTTCATGCAGCAGTCCATGTACTGTACTGTATACATGATAAACTGAAGGTGATCAAAGTATTCCACCCTGCCTCACCCGTGTCTTTACTTCAAACCATTCACTGTCCTTAACTCTCACACTCATCATACTGTATAGGCTTTTATCATTAACTTTTGCATTATATTATATTGATGTTTCAAGGCTCTCCAGTTGTTATTTCTACTCATTTTATCAAAGCCTTTTACAAATCTATGAAGCAAATTACTTTTATCTTTCCCCATTCTTAACTCTTCTCTGGGATAATGTCAAAGAGCAAATACTGGATCTGTGGTGCTGCTAGTCTAAAGCCACACTGCACACTTCTTAAGCTTACCCCAACTTGTGTTCTAAAGGGGAAGGGATTAGGCATAGGTGCTTTTAATTTTGGTATATTGTTGTGGTAATCCTGTCATCAACCGGTTTTCACCCCTTTCTAAATTTTCAAGGTAGATTTCTTCCATTACTATTTTCTACTGTGCCTTAAAATTTATATTGCCAAGAGATCTATCTTGTCCTTGAACATTACATGACAATACATCAGGTTTTGGCTTTGCTTTTAATGATACAAATTTCTCAATGCCAGGAGAAATTTTTGTAAAACTATCAAGAAAATATTCAACCAAAAATAAATCCTACAAAATATTGGACGTTGTAATTACGTTAAGGAATGGTTCTTCTTGTTCGAATTTTTTGTTTAGATTAATTGAAATTGATCAAAAACTGGCTGAGAATTTCTAATCTGATACTGTACAGTGTCTCAGCAGAGTACACACCTCCTCTCTTTGACAAGGGCTGGAACCCACTGGTGTGCGTGTATCTTCACAGAGAGAGAAAGTTGCCAGTTCCAAAGTCTTTTTTTGTGCAATTTTCCCTATTTCTTTTACAAATATTTTATCAAGATTGTTCATAGGTTTATCCAGGGCCACAGTGGGGGGGATGGTGGCAAGGAAGTCATACATAGGTGCATAAATATTACAAATATCGCTATAAAACTCTGTCCTCATATGGCCAAAGGTAACGCTTTTGCAGGAATGTTTTCATGTATTGTGATGTATTTCCAATTTTCATCTACAGTATGTATCTCTAACGCAGACTCTCCCCTTAATCGAATCTCAATTATCCTTCTATATTTCTCCCACATCTGATGGCAGTGAAATTTCTTGATAAGTAGAACAGCTTTTCTAACTCTATTAAATATTGGGGAGACAATTACTCTCTGACAATTTAAGGCGTCCTTCCTTTGCCTCTAAGCAGTAATAAATTTTTCTTCGGACGTGTAATACACGCTTTATATAATTCAACTGTTAATGCAGTATAACTCTGGTTCCTTTCCAATTTCTCTGAATGCCTTTATAACTTGTTGATAACTTAATTCCATTTGTGGACCTTCACTTCTGTCTACTTCATCTTTCTCTATACTGTATCAATGTTTTCATGTTTTTCCCTAAGGTTTAGCAATGTTTCAAAGTACTGTACAGTAATCTCCATCTTGGCACTTGTCTTCAGGTTCAACCAATGGATTGTTGCCCTCATTCTTCTCCAGCATTACAAATGATGTAAGTGTTT